TCCTGATTCTCCCAGCAAAGTAGCAGCAAATGGGTATTTTCAAAGCACTTTACCTTACTATCTCAGAACATTCACCAATTAAACGGATCCAGAAACTTCAAGAGGAACAATAGGCAATTATTTTGTTTCAAGTTTGAATTATTAACGATACTTAAGTCTTGCTCTCATTTTTGAAACGGTGAGAATTACATTTGGAGGGAGATGATGAGTAGGTTTCTTACCTTAAATGTTCATTGTTTGGCAGAAAAAATACTATTCAAATGTAGCTGGAAGGATGTTCAGGATTGTCATTTGAGGAGATCTCACGCCTCAGTGCCCATGTCTGACAGCTCTTCACTCAAACTTTCTGAACAGTCAAATGGATTTTGTTTTGCCTGTTAGGTTCAAGCTTTAGGATTCAATTTTATGCTAAGCCCATTATCTAGTATTGTAAACAGGGTAACAGTGTGACCCTACATTGCGAAATGGAGCCCATTTAAGGAACAAAAGTTAGTCTAGTGGAGCCCAGCACTTACAATAAGCACTAAAGGGTTCTTGCGGTGTGATAACATCAAGACTTAGGGTACTTCCCCCAGTCCTTGGTTTTGGCCCAGACCTTCTGAGGTGTGGAGCATGTCTCTAGCTGTGCCGGATGTTTAATTGAGTGCAGCATGCAAGTCGCCATGCAGTGGGTCCCATAGACAGTATGATGTGCAAGTTCATGTCGCGGCCTGAATTACCCAAGGGAAACTGTGTGAGCCTCCTTCCCAGGCAATGGGGCGCCCACTCAGAATCCACGTGGAGGCCCCAGACAGGGCCAGAGAAGCTCTGTCTTGAGATCCACACAGGATTGCATCAGCACATCAGCACGAGTGCACAGTTTGGCAGCGTCCTCCCTGGACTTGCATTTGGAGCCTGCACAGCATTTTTGTTTCAAGATTTAAAATAATTAAAGAAAATCTATTTAGGCAATGCTTGGAGAGCTTACTAAAGGCCTTCTTTGGATCCCTCGGGGGCTCCAAACATCCCAGTTTGGAAACTGAAAGCCTGGGCCGACATCGGAGGGCTGTGCCTGGCTTCATGGGTACCGGCCTTGACAATGAGGGAGTCTATTTTATCCTCCCCTCCCCCAGCCCTGGATGTTTCCAGGAGTAGAAAATCAAGCCCTCCCGGCCCCATACCCCCAGCCTGTGGGATTCCCTTCTACAAAAGTCATTACTGCCTCTCTTGGTCGTCTGCCAGCTCTAAAGTGTCTTTTTAATTGCATCTAATTTGGCCTCATCTCATTAAATCCTTAATTTAAGCCGGAGCGATCCCTCCAGCGCTGGCTGCCTAATGACAAAGGGGCCCACACCGCTCTTCCCCCTTCAGCATGGCTCCCCGGTTGGGGCTGCTCTCATTTCCAGGTGGTCTCTCTGGGAGGCTTCTGACAAGTGGCTGTCGTCTTCGCCATGCTGAGCGTGGAGCTGAGCCAAGAGGGCTTCCCGGGAGCAGTAATTACTGGTAAAGGCTCAACCCTCCACCCCACTGGCACCCTGGCTTACAGGCCCAAAGTCGCTGCAGCAACAGCATCCAATTCTAGTGGTGCAGGAATGCGAGGAGAGGGAGAAGACATTGAGATTAAACAATAATAAACATAGTAATTACTGTAGCCGCTGTCAAGCCCAGGACATTATGTTTTAAACACATTATCTCAATGGGGAAGCTGTCGCTGGCCACACATTGCAAATGAGGCCATCTAAACTTGCAGGTAAAAAGTGACAGGTCTTAGGATAGAAATGCAGATCTGTCTGGCCTCAGTGGGAGGAATCTTCCTGTTATCTCCTCCAGTCCAACCTCATCTCCTAAGAGGCTCACCCTGGTTACTCCCCTCCAGCCAACTAGCCACCTCAGTGTTCCTTGAACAGACCAGCATGCCCTGCCCCAGGGCCTTTGCACTTGCTGTCCTCTGTGTCTGGAATGCTCTTCCCCTGCGTATGTCTCTGGCTTATTTCCTCTATCCATCAGACACAGCTCAAACTTCCTCTCTTCAGAGAAATCTTCTTCCTTTACCTCCCCTGTCACCCTTTTTCATTCTCTATCGCCTGACCTTGTTTGCTTTTTGTTATTTTTATTTTGTTTGTTTGAGATAGGGTCTCATTAATAGATATTAAAGAATATCTCTTTGGGCAGTGCTTGGTGAGGTACCCAGGCTGGAGAGCAGAGGCATGATATATGGCTCACTGTAGCCTGGGCTTCCCAGGCTCAAGCAATCTTCCCACCTTTCGGCCTCTGGAGTAACTGGAACTATAGGCACATGCCACCATGCCAGGGTAATTTTTGTTTTTGCTGGTAGCATTCATCACTAGCAATTACTAAATTATGCGTTTATCTTTTTATTGTCTGTGTCCTCTTCTAAAAATGAAGCACTATAAGAGCAGAAAAATCTTCTATCCTCTTCACGGCTCTATGCCTAGTACCTAAAACAATGTTTGGCACATACTGGGTCTTCAATTCATATGTGCTGCTTGACTGCATTTTGGTAACGTCTAATCCAGGGATGTCCAATCTTTTGACTTCCCTGGGCCATATTGGGAGAAGAATTGTCTTGGGCCACATGTAAAATACACTAACATGATAGCTGATGAGCTAAAAAAAAAAAAAAATTACAAAAAAACTTACAATGTTTTTAGAAAGTTTACGAATTTGGGTTGGGTAGGCTGCATTCAAAGTCATCCTGGGCCATATATGGCCTGCGGGCCATGGACTGGATAAGCTTGGTCTAACCATTTCAAGAGGATACATGCATTCAAGCACTTTTCAATGCCAATGGTTGCCAAGATTGAGATCTCCCCTAACATTCTCTAAATCAATTCTACAGGTCAGCAGAATCCTTCTCTAAGGATGACCCCCACAAATGCAGCCTAGAGGCCTGAGAGTTAGGGCTGAGGCTTGCTGTATTGGTGTGGACTTTTTGGGAAGCTGGTTGCTATAGAAACACCCATTGCATCCTAGAATGGGTTTCCCATGGCTGCTCAGAGCTTGCTGCATTGCTGAGATCTGAGAGGGAGGCACCAGAGCTGAGGGAGAATATATTGGGCTTCTAATTCAGTTCATCCTGGGCAAGTCCCCTCACCTAGCTGAGCATCAGTTTCCTCATCTGTAAAATGGGCATCATCACACATACTTCACAGGGCTATGCGGAGGATTCAGTGAAATTATGTATGTAAAGGGCTGGCTCCCAGTAGCTGTTAAACAAATTCCACACCTATTCTTGGTTTTGTAAAACTTCAACAAACTTGGAATCTAATTTTATAAAATTCAATCTTTACTTTGAATTTTTTCCTGTCAAGAGCTGTAAAGGGTCTGAAATTTTTCCCTACTTGCAAGCTAACAAGCTACCCTGCTACAGTTTCATGGATGCTGGCAGAGGACACGAGACTCTAGAACCAGAGACAAAAGACTTTATTACCCCTGGCATTGCAAGCAGCATGGGCTTCATATTTATATCAGTTCTTGCTCCCCAAGTGCCATGGGGGTGATGCTGAGCAGCCTGGTGGATGTGGTATGCATAGTGGGTGTGTGTCAAAATTAGGAACTCCAAGTTTAGATAACCCAGATCTTTCATTATGACCTATAAGCAAAGCTATCTTTGCCTCAAAGGTGAGACATTATTTTTATCATACAGGACAGCAAACAAATCTGCCCTCTGCTTTGGAGGGAAAAATGATCTCTATCTTCCAGTGTGGCTGTTCACTATACAAACACCCATGAGAAGATAGTCTGGAGAGAAACCTATCAGTGCCTCCAATTGCAAGTCGTGTGTGGAAACATGAGAAATCCGTGGAGAATTGTCTCCCAATGAGGTCATGTCCAAAAGAGATCTGTAAGGAGTGTTAAGAAGAGGCATGCTCTGCAAGGGAGGTTCTCCTCTCCAGGCTGTTTTGAGTAAGCCTGTGTGGCATGCATTGTGAGCGCTCCTCACTGCCAGCCTCACCTTCCTTGGTGTGGAGGATTCCTAGGTGTGGAAGGGTTCAAATGGAAGGCAAAGCCGAGGATGGGAAGCTGAGTGCCTTGGAACTACATGGCTTGCTATGGGGTTGGTGCATAGCAGTGGCCATTTCTGAAGAACATGAATAACCTGCTTGAAGACCATCGCAGCCTGACTCATGGGGCTCCCCCTTCCTATCTGCCCATCAGCAAGCACAGGCAGCAGTCAGGCAAGACAGCTCAGAAATGAGCTGGCCTGGCCTGGCCTGACCCCACTCAAATATTGCCATCTGCAGGCATGTGTTGGGGGAACTGCCCACTTCACCCTCCTTGAGTAGGGAAAGAGCACAGGTCCTCTACAATTCATTTATTAAACATTCAATAGGCACTGACTGTGTGCCCAGGCCTGAGCTACACTGGGAAGAGAAATGAATCAAACTTGGTGCCTGCCTTCCTCAGACTGGCTGGGGAGACAGATGTGGCTGGACACCTGCATTAAAACACAAGGTACTAAGGGCCACATTGGAAGTGGGCAAGGAGGAGACATTTCTTTGGGGGAGGGCATTTCGAGTTGAGTCTTGAGGGAGAAATGGCCAGGCATGGGGAGGGGAGGCAGAACACAGGGAGGGGCTCAGTGGCACAAACAGAGGGTAGATTCAGGGAGCAGGAAAACCTATGCCAAGGTATTTCCATTTTAGCCTGCAGGAAATGAGTGGCCACTGAAGGTGGTGGGGTGAGGGCATATATAAATTCTGGTTATTTTTCTTGTTACTGAAGTAAAATGTCTTATTCAAAACAATTTATAGAATATTGAGTAAAAAAAGAACAGAATATTAATCACACATAATTCCTCTGCCCAGGGAAAACTACTGTTAACATTTAGTGAATTTCTTTCTAGTAATTTTCATACTGGCTTCCAGTGACCCAAGCCAGAGTCCTGGAATGGCCTATTTTTCTGCTAACCTTCACACCCTACATCTTCTTCTAAAAATGTGAATATGCAAGACAAATCATGATACTTTATTTTTTCTAAATTAAACTCACAGCCTCCATCACCTCCCCCACCCCTATCAGGATGGGGGTACCCACTCAAGCTCAGTCATTTCAGAGACTGAAAGAGGCGTCTCACCCTCCCCAGGCCCACAGGGTGCAGGCCTCCCAGCCCTTTGTCTGGCAGCCGCCCTCCTGGCCTGCACATGGTCACTGCTATCAGCCCCGAGGCCTCTGTGCCATCTGTGGTGCCCAGGAATTTTTGTTGAGCCTGGATGCTGTGGACACAGAACCCAGGCTCCTTGGAGTTATCCAGCCGCTTCCTTCTGAGGAGTGCTGAGGAGTGGGTCCTGCTCCCAGACATGGCGAATCTCCTGTCTCAGAGGCCAGTTCTGTTTCCCTTCCTCCCACGCACAGACCCCTCAAGCAGCTCAGGAACAAAAGCCAAGACGTAACTGATGCCTGCAAGCAGCTCCTCCTAAGTCAAGGAAGAGAAAAGGCTGGTTCTTATTTGGAACTGAGGGAAAATACAGTTAGAAGAAATATAGGCAAATACCTAAATGCATTATTTTCCCAAAACATGCATATATAATTTTTTTTTGAAATGCACAAGTCTCTGCTTCATTATAATGGCAATTCAGAGTGAGCCCCCTTCCTTCTTGAGGGTGGAAGAGCTCTCAGAAAATTCATCATCTTTCCTTGATTCTCCCCCCGCTGCGGGGAATGGAGCCTGGGGCTCCCCCTCCCCTCTAGGTTGATGGAGAGGCAGGTAATGGGGCTTCAGGCTGCAGACTAGCTTTCACACTTATTTCTGATAATTGGTCAGCCCTTTCAAGAGCAGGTGGGCCCTGATGCAGTAATTGGCAGGGGGCAGGCCGGTCACTCAAGGACTGGAAAGGTGTTAATTGCTCTTTCCTCATCCCCCACATATATTCCTATTAAGGAGGAAACTTGAGGCGAAGAAATGTCCAAGAAAGGTCCCAAGTACAAAAGGGCAAAGGTTTAGTGCTTTCCTCTGATACTCCAAAGAGGGTAATGTTGATGGGCTGGCACTGGTAGAACTGGATTCAGAAACTGTGGCTATGAGATCCCAGAGCTTATGGCTTGACCACCACGGTGCTCTGTTTCTTGCTGAATGGAATGGATTGAAGGGAGGGGTCTAGGTCAGGTGACTCCTGCAGTCTTTTCCAGTTGAGCCCTAGCAAATCTCCAGGCTGGGGAACCAGAGCCAGAGCTAGGGGCTCAAGCTCCTTTTCCCATGGAGTTCTCTTCAGGAGATGTTTGTGCAGTGGATGGTTCTCTTTAAGTAACACGCCAGGCCAACACATTTTCTTCATTGGAAATTACCTTCAGTCCAACATTTTATCAGCCTGACCTGCAGAGTAATTGGAAGCAGGTGGATTTTCCTCAAACAACAATCAGTCCTGGAGAGAGCACGGATTATGCCCCTCTCGGATAAGGAGTGGGCCCTGGTCTGCAGCATGTGGAAATGACTCTAGAGCCCAGGCAGCGTTCCAGCAGACAGAGGCCGTGAGCATCGGTGTTCTGCTCTGCAGGGGAACACCAGCCATTCCTGGAGCAGGGCAGCCAGGCCTCACCCCAGTCACAGTGGGGACAGCAGTATGCAAGCACGGAAGCATGCATGCACATTCACGGCACCTGAGACTGTGGCCATCCTGAAGAAAGGACTTAGAGACAAGACTCTTCTCTCAATTACAGGCTCCAGCTCTGCTCTCCAGCCACGCACCCAAGCCAGAGTCCTGCAGGTAGTCCAAGCCTTCTCCTCTCTTTCATACCCCATATCCAATCATCCCACGTCCTGAATACCACACTTCCTGCCTCTGATAATTCTGTTCCTGCCAGTTACTTAGTTCAGGCTACATCATCTCTCGGAACCTCTATACCAGCCTTCTTACTGGTGTTTCTGACATTACCCCCTCCTACCAATCCCCTATCTTATAGCCAGAATCATCTTCATGACATTCAGGTCTGATCTGACTGTTCTGTTTAAAATCCTTCTGTGGTTTCCCATCCCCGAAGCATAGCATACAAGGCCTTCAGCGTCATGGCCTCTTCCTCTCTGCTGTTTCAGCTGCTTATTTCCAGATACGATGTTCTCCAAACATACTATGCCCCCCTGGAACCACCAGGCTTTTGCTCCTACTGTTCCTGTTGTCTGGAGTGTTCTCCTCCCTTCTCCAAAAGCGCGAATCCCATTCACATGCTTCAAAGACCACTTCTGATGGCACCTTATTAAGGAAAGTGAACCCCTGTTTTTTTTCCCCAGCTTTGGGAATGGGTATCTGTAGTAGGTAGAATAATGCCACTCCCCTAAGATGCCTGTGTTCTAACCTGGGAATATATTGCCTTACATGGCAAAAGGGATTCTGCAGATTAAGTTCAGCAAATTGTGATGGGGTGATTACTCACAATGGTGCTTATGAAAGGGAGGCAGGAGTGTGAGAGACAGAGAAGGGGATATGATGATAGCAGCAGAAGTAGAGTGATGTGGGGCCACCAGCCAAGGGATGTGGGCAGCCTCTGGAAGCTGGAAAGACAAGTATATGAATTCCCCCTACAGCCTCCAGAAAGGGCCACAGCCCTGCTGACACCTTGACTTCAGCCTGAGACCCATATTTACACTTCTGACCCACAGAAATATAAGATGATACATTGTGTTGGTTTTGGTCACTAAGTTTGTGATAATTTGTCACAGCAGGTACAAGAAACTAACACAGCCTCATATTAGAGTTGGTTCTTCATGAGTCTTTGAGGCCCTGGAGGGCAAAGGTTGGAGCTGGCCCTTCCCTGAGCCACTAGTCCAGTACAAGGTCAGACACAGGGATGACACCTAGCAAATGTTGGACAAATGAGCAAGGGAGGCACTTTATTCCCCTGGCCCAACAGACCCATTGTGGACATCAGGCCTTTGGGGCCTCATGGGCCGAGATGAAGTGGAATTGATTTCATTTCATAGCCCGAAGGCATGGTTCCCTGTGTTACTAGCACTACCTTCTTACCCTGCTAAGTCCAAAAGCACCAGTTATGTTACTTCAAAGACAACCTCTGTGCCGGGCGTGGTGACTCACAACTGTAATCCCAGCACTTTCAGAAGCTGGGTGGGCAGATCACTTGAGGTCAGGAGTTCAGGATGAGCCTGTCCAACATAGAGAAACCCCATCTCTACTAAAAATCCAAAAATTAGCTGGGCATGGTGGTACATGCCTGCAATCCCAGCTACTCAGGAGGCTGAGGCATGGGAATCATTTGCACCTGGGCGGTGGAGGTTGCAGTGAGCCAAGCTTTCACCACTGTGCTCCAGTTTGTGTGAAAGAGCAAGATTCTATCTCAAAAAAACAAAAACAAAAAACCAGTCAACTCTATTGGGTTATTGAGATCACTTAGCCCTCCTACCCCAGCTCACTTGTAGTAACTCCCATGCACATCAACAAGGACATTTGGCTCAGAGGCTCATGGAACATCAGGCTGCAGGAGTCTTTACAATGCTTCATCTCACTCCCTTATTTATAGATGGGGAGTCTGAGAGAGGGAAGGGGTCAAAGTGGTCAAACTGTGGCCAGACAAGAACCCAGGCCAGGTTTCTTTCCCTGCACCTCCCAAGGAAGCAGTCACTAGTGTCGACATCCCCATTTTACAGATGAAGAAACTGAGGCATAGAGAAGTTGAGTCACTTGCCCACAGTCAGCCAGTGAGTGAAGCTTATTTGAATGGGTTGAACACCAGAGTTTCTCCTCTTAATCTCTGCACTATACTGACAGGTGGGAAAACTGAGGCCCAGGGAGGGTCCCAGGGGTGATGGCTGCACAGAAAGCGGGGATGGTGAATGTTCAAATCAGAGCCTGCCAAACCAACAAGGTAGGAAGTGTCTGGGCTGAAACGAAGGCCTTGGGAGTTTGCCTTCTTCAATTAGGCTGTTTGCTTTTCTGAGTCCAGAGGATAATTTAACTAATGGCACTGGTTTTCTGACACTATTGATCGGCCAAGATTAAATATGTTTGTCACAGTCAAGTGAACTAATCACTTTATTGTATTTCAAGTACTAATTTCATCAGATAGATGTTGGGGGGCGCCCCGGGGGGAGATTCTGGGAGACGAGCATGTGCACAGGTTGGGGTGCAGGGGGAGGGCTGCCACAGGATCGATGGAGCCACTGTGCCTAGAGGGGTCTGGAACATCAGGCTTTCTGGACGCCTGCAGCTGTGCTGCTCAGACTGGAGGAGTCTGCATTTTCTCTACCCTCCCCGCTTGCTGTTCCAAGCCCTCTTGAAATTTCTCTTCTCAGGAGAGGCAATTTCTCAAGCATTATTGGAAAATGGTAGATGTTCCTAAATAACTATCCTAAATCACCCCTCAGCCAGTAATCCCACAGCTGCTCTGATTCTTTTGGATGCAAATGCTGCCTCTCTGAGCCATTAGCCATTCCAGGGACCACCGACTCATGGCAAAACCTGAAAATGAACTCATCTGTCTTTCAGGTTTGGAAAGGCTTTGCCATTTCCACAGCTCATCATGTTGGACAAGGAGACCCAGGGCTTATTAAATCACCCTCTGGCCACAATGCAATTAAGCAAACCTCCCTGCTCAGGAGAGAGGGCGAGTATATATATGTGCACATGCACACATGCATGCACACAGAAACACACATGTGCACACATGCACAAGCATGCATGTTCATACACATGCATAAATGTGCATACACACAAATGCATACGTGTGCACAATACCTCTACATAGCCCATGCACATATATGTACATCCTGCATGAACATATACAGATATGTAATGCATGCACACCCACATATGTACACTCACACATGCACACATGTGCATACACTCACATACAAGGTTTGGAAGTTCCTAATAGATGTTTCTTAAACACATGAAGTGGATTTGTCCCCTGCACACAGAAGCTCCTGAGATGACTTGAGAGACTCTGAAGGTGAAGCCAGTTTCTTTAACTCTGCCTGCCAACAAGTCTCTTTTCTCATTTTGTTGTATTTAATCCCACCAAACACAAGCATCACCTGTAACCCCTGGAGCTGAAGGTAGGTATCTACCTTAGGCTTCTGAGGCTCAATCCTTTGGTGATTAGATGGGGGACAAGGTCAATTCCCAGTTGAACTTCAGACGCTGAGGAATAACCCACCATAATCATTGTGAACACTTGCTTACATGGGTCCAATAAAGAGGGCCATTTCCAGAGGAACACAAGTGTTTCTGCATAGAATAGCCTTCCACAGCTGCCCATAGAGCCCCTTGGGCTGTCTGGATGGGTTTAGCTGGCACTCTTCACTGGAGAATTGGGTTATTTTATATGTGCAATGCCTCACATCTGTACAGCTTTCAAATCTATTATCATCCAGCAATTCTGGAAGCAGATAGGGCTTTGGGATTTACCATCCCTGTGTTGTAGATGGGAAAACTGAAGCCCAGAGAGGGAAAGAGACTTGCTAAACATCCAGAGAGTCAGTGGCAAGTTGGAACTGGATTTGGACTTCCTGACTCGAAGAGTGGGCACTAGCCCTTTGTAAGTCTCTGGTCGAATCCTACCCAAGCCTTCAGAGCTTTGCAACACTCCCCTTTTATCTTATTTCTGTTCTTTTTTCAGTCCTCTACTCATTGCTAGATTTCCTGACTGCAGTTATGTCCTTGAGTGGAAGTCCCAAATACTCTCCAATCTGGGCTGCTGTTTCCAGACAACTTTGGGCTTGGTATCAAGAAAGAAAAAGGCCACCTGTGTGGCTGGGTTGAATAGGCCAAGACCCTTGTCCTTGCCAGGCTTTCTCTATTTTTAGAAGCATCTTTTTGTGACTTGAATTCTGCGATCTGGAGCTTTCCTGGAGAGTTGTTTCAAGCTTCAGAAGATGCATCCATCCTCAGGAATCCTACTGGGTTAAACAAGACAGAAAAAAAACCAGCAGCATCTCCCCAGGGAAACATCAAAAGTCAGAGCAGCAACAAACAGATTTGCTGAACATTTCAAATCTTTGAGCATCATTAAAACCCAGAGAGCTGTGTGTTGAGTATGTAACCTGGCCTTTTAGTCTCCTTTCATGCTATGTAACTCCAGATGTTTTACCTCCTGAAAAGAAGTGTTTCTACATGATGGAGTACCCAATTTGCAAAAAATATCCTGGTCCCCTCTCCAAGCCAGCAAACTGTTGGCAGCATGCCAACTCTGATGTGCTTGTTAAAAGCCAGACCTAGGAAATATTCCACGCGTGGGTTTGGCGGTCTGAAGGATTTGGAATCAGAAGGCCTGAACTGTAGCCTCTGCTCTGCCTTCAACTTGCTGAACCAGTTGCCAAAAGCCCCACAGAGCACTGGGACAGAGCTGGTGTTGAACACCCAGCCACATACCCTCTGAGCAAAGAAGAACCAAATCTAGCGAAGTCAACAAGCACATCCGAACACAGGCCGGGAACAGGGAGAAGCATGTCCCAGTAACCATGTCCAAAAAGGTCCCGGCCAAGGCACTGGGGTAAACAATTCCCTCTCCATTGTCTTGTTCTCTATATGGACTTCTGGGAGCCGCCAGCCCGTGCCCGCGGCCCCACAGGGAGGGCCTGAAGGGTACAGTAGAGCCCTTGGACAGACTAGCATTGACACTTCAGGGTGGAATCATCAGGGCTCACCCTTTGTTCTTAGCAGGATCACTGCCAAATCCCTTTCTCTGCTGTCAGCCTCTGGCCCTCTCTGTCATGTGTACTGCTGACCACTTGCCACTAACAGAGTCCCTATCCTCCCTTGCTCCTGGGACCCCACAGTATCCAAGTGTACTCTCTTTTTCTGGCTGTTTTCTCTCTGCAGACACATTTTCCTCAGCCTATTCCTTGAAGATTGGTGTTCTCTAGGACCATCTTCTTTTCTATCCTCTCTCTCTCTCTTTATCTGTCTATCATTTATCCTCTATCAATATCATCTATCAATGTAATCTATCATCTATCCATCCATCCATTTATCTGTCTAATCTATCCATTCATCCATCATCTATTACCTATCTATATCAGCTATCATCTATCTGTATTATCTATATCTATTATTTATCCATCTACCCATCCATTCGTTATCTATCCATTTATCTCTATTGTCTATCCATTCATCTATCATCAATCAATATCTATTAATCTATTTATCTATCTATCTATCCACTCCCTGCATCATCTTGCCCACCCTTGTGTCTTCCATCAACCCCATGTGATGACTCTCTGGAGTGCCAGATGTATTAATCCACCTACCTACATAACTTCTCCACCTGACGCCCTGCAGGGATTTTTCTCACATGAGTCTAGAAGTAGGCAGTGTCTTGCATTGACTCAGTAGTTCAAGCAAGTCAGAGCTGCAGTCTCTGGTTCTCTTAGCCTTTCCCTTATGGTTGCAAGAAGGCAGCTGTAGCACTGGCTATCTCATCTGGATTCTAGATAGGAAGAAAGAAGACATGGAGAAGGGCAAAAAGACACCACAGGTTTAGAGGCCTTTTCTAAAGAGTTCTTCCAAGAAGCTCTGCCCAACTGCTTCCCCGTACATCTCTTTGGATGCTTCTACCTGCAGAGCGGCAGTGTCCTACGGGCATCTAGTTTTAGTGGGCACACTGCCGTCCCCATTGTGAAAACAATAAGTCACAAGAGGAGACATCCCCCTAGACTTCTCAACCCTCTCTGCTGACAGCATCAGGCTTCTCCCACAACCGCCTACCTGCCTGCACCCCTATCCTCTTGGCCCCTCTGATGGGCTCCCATCCAGAGCCAGAATGATCTTTCTAGCTTAAGACCCTGGTTCTATCACCCTCACCAGCTGCTTCAGAAGGGGTCTGTGCCTAGATGCCTCTAGGTAAGACTCACTGACCCACAGGATAAAATTCTCAGCCTAACCTTTAAGACCCTGGAGAATCAGCATAATCTCCAGAAACTGAAAGTTCTGTTTCTTTGCTGCAGAGCTCCTCGTGGGTTTCAGAAAAGTGCAGGCATCCTTGAGGGGGAAGGGTGGCTGACAACAGAGGATTTAAAAAGCAAACACATCAGCTCTGGCCTGCCCAGATAATGAATAGAGGAGAAGGTTATCTATCTCACTGATTTATGTTGTTACGGTTTCTTCCACAGACCAAAGTGGTAGCATCTTCACATCTCCCGCCTTCCACGTTTGCTGCAGCAAGGAAATCACATTTTTCATCAACCATGGGAATGACTGAACGGCAGTGCTTTTATTTGTTAAGGGTTGAACTTGGCCATTTCTTCTCTCGAGGGCTGAGTCCTGCTGTTATGCATAGCTTCTCATCCAGAGAGATACCATGGAGAATAAATCAGGACCAGGACTCAGTGTGACAGCCACATTCTGGCAGGGCTCTGGGGTCTAGGGGCTAATAGGGTCTCACTGCAGGGAGAAATGCTGCCAACTGGGCTGGGGAGAGGAAGGGAGGCTGAGACTTTGAAAAATGAGTGGAAAAAATGTTGCCACTTCATAAAACCAGTGTCAGTGGGTGAAACATAAACCATCCAGAGACTGTGAGAGCTAGCAAGGCCTTTGGTGGGTTTAGGGCCTCTTAACCTGAGGGCTGTTGCTAGGTTTTATGGAGTCTGTGAACCCATGAAATTATGTGTCAGTGTTTCTGTGCATATGTGCATTTCCAGCACGTACAAAGGGGTTAGAGTTCATAGCTTTTGTCAATTCTCAAAGGTTAAGAACTGGTCTGGCAGGACCCTCTCATCATACAGAAAAGAAAACTGTGGGGTCTTTGGGATAGAAGAGACCAGCCAAGTTCCCCTGGCAGGAAAGACGCAGAACTGGGATTAGGAATTTGCAGACTCAAGTTCCAATTTGGCCTGGCCAGATCCTGGCTGTGTGACTTTGGGCTGGTCACCTTATTGCTCTGATGTTTTACTACACGTGCATTTAAGGAGATGTCAAGGGGATTTTAAAATGGAATTAATGCACTTCAATACCTACTTACAGGAGGTGTGGAACTGGTGCTTAATAAGTATTTTTTGAATCATCAAATAATGTTGAAAATCATTCTTTCCACTATCAACCATTCAGCAAATATTTGTTGACTATCTATCTCTTGTATACCACACACTGAGTGAGCAAAGTAGGTACACTCCCTGCCCTGGCATAGTGAGAGCTACAGTTAAGAAAACAGACCATTGTTATTGCTGTAACAATGAACTACTGCACTGTTAATGTGACCACTGTAACACAGTGTGATGAATGTCATAACAGGGTCAGCACAGGAACCTGCCAGAGCAAGTGGTCGTGATACCTAACCAGAGGGAGGGTGGGGTGGCGGAATCAGGAAAGGCTTCCCAGTGGAGGCAACAAGTAGGCTGAGACCTGAAGGAGAAGCAAGAGTTGGCCAGGCAAAGAAAGGGCTGGATTATCATCCAGAGAAAGCACATGCAAAGGTCTAGAGGCCAAAGAAAGCTCAGTGCACTTCTTTAGGGAAGTAATAGATCAGTCTTGCTGTTTTTAGCTGCTGCAGGCAGCCAGGAGAAGCCATGCTGAAATCAACATACATAGCCAGGACATGGGAATCCCTTTCATCTTTTAGCACCAGTTTATCTTTGCATTTACTTACTTAACATTGGCACTTTTATACATGACCATCTCCTCCTCCCTGTTGATCCAAATGGTGCAGCTTCCCTCTAGCTCCTTGTCTCTAGAGGTGAGCAAGTACTTACCTCAGGTAATGCTGGGATTAGAACCTGGATGAGACAATCTGGTGAGCTCACGTTATCACAAGCAGACGATCATTGCGTGGCTTGCTGCACTGTCCCAGGCTGGCTGAGCTCCCTGGGTCGCTGCCCTGCCAGGGACAGCCTGAGTGATCACCCCGAGATGATTAATTCCTGCCTCCCGTGGCTGGCCCTGGGTCTGCAGCCAAGTGCTGCTGTCATCTCTTTATTTTTCTGCTCCACTGTTATTGAAAATCAATAAGCCGTCCAAGCTGAATGAAGTTTAGTGACTGGGACTGAGTCCATAAATCAAATAAAAACTAAATTATATTTAAAAAGGGAAATAGGACTAAGAAGGCTGCTTTGGGGTGGAACGGAGGCCCTGAGAGTTGGATGTCACAGAGGCAAAGATGAACAAACAATGGGTACTACCTGGTTGATGGGTGGACTGTATCAGGACCAGAAGTACTTCTGGGAATAGCTTATCCAGTCCCCTGTTTTCCAGGTCAGAGGATTGAAGTTCAGAGGGGACGACTACCCTCTGGTCATACAGTGAGAGGCAGAGCTGGCTCCAGACCCAGGCCCCGGGCCTTCCCAGGGCCCACTGGTACTCCCCCTTTACCAACTGGCCTCAAATCAATTAGAAACAACAGCTGAACTGAAGTGAATTCAAGAGGAAACCCAAGGAAGAGGTTTTAGATTTTTATGTTGTCAAATGTATCACTCTTTTAGTTTACAGTTTCTGTGTTTCATGTTATGCTTTAAAATCCTAAACAAATATGTCTGTTTCCAGCCAAGGAGTCAACCAGAATAGTTTCTAGAGCTCTCGCAGAGCTGAGAATTATTCATGTTTTCCACAACTAAAGTGGAAAGACCTCCTAACATGCAGGATACTGAGTAGGATTCTCAGAAGGGTGTTGCCTTGCTAGTGAGGCCAAATTCACCCTACCCTAAAGGCTGCTCTGTCAGTCTCAAAAGGATGCAGTTGATTCATGCTCCGGAACAAAGTCCACTGGTATTTAAAAGAATACAATAAAATCCAGCAATCAACAAGTTAAAATTTACAATACCCAGCACCAAGTGCTCCCTTCGGCAGTAAGCATCGAAGTAGGAAAATGTGGGTTACAACCAGATGGAAAACTAATTAGTGGAAACAAACCAACAAATGGTAGAAATTATGGAATTAGAAGACAAGAACCTTAAAACAGTTATCATGATTCACAGGTTCAAGAGGGTGGAGGAAAATGTGACCAGGATGAGGAGCGAAATGGAAGTTTGTAAAATTTAAGATCCAAATGGAATTTCTGGAAATGAAAAATGTAATATCTGAAATGAAACACATATACACTGATGGTAGTAATATGAGATTAGATTCTGAAGAAGGAAAAATCAGTGAACTTGAAACTGTAGCCTTAGAAACTACCCACAATGATATATGCTTACCATAGAAAAATCATACTACTAGGCCAAGAGAAATAAAATCATGTTCACAAGAAGACTTGAATATTCATAGCTTTGTTCACAAAAATGAAGAACTAAAAACAAGCTAAACATCTGTGAACTGATGAAGAGATAAGATGTGATATATCCATTCCTTTTATTACTCAGCAGTAGAAGGAATCAACTACTGATACTTGCAACGACGTGAGTAAATCTCAAAAGCATTATGTTGAGTACATTTATAGGAAGTTCTAGAGAAGATGAAACTGCAGTAATAGAAGGCAGAGATCAGTTGCTGCCTAGGGTGCAGAATGAGGGAGAGGAAATTGATTACAAAGGGTATAAGGGAACTTTCTGGGTTAGAAATGTTTTTATTACAATTGTAGAGATGATTGTATAACTGTGTACATTTGTCAAAACTCAATGTGTGTGTGCTGGGGGAATATGGGTGTAGTTATAAAATGACAATATGAGGGGTTCTTGTAGTGATAAAACTCTTCAGTGTCTTGATTGTGGTGTGGATACACCAATGTGTATTTATATGTGATGGCCTTGTATAGAACTAAATATACACATACAAATGAGCATCAGGAAAACCAAGGAAAACTAAACAAAATCAGTGGGTGTTATCAATGTCAATATCCAGGTTGTGATGTTACATTATCACAATCATTATTGTTACCTTCGTGTATCATTAGTGCTACAACTAGGGGAAAACTAGTTAAGGGTATATAGGATCTCTCTGTAGTATTTCTTACAACTGCATGTGAGTTTACAGTTATCTCAAAAAGTGTCAATGAAACACTCATTATATGGTACAAATAAAACTGCTGAATTTTATTGTATATAAATGATTTCTCAGCAAAGCTGATTTTTAAAAAGCTCTATATGACTCTCTGAAACCAAGTTATGTTTCTCTTTGTAACCTGCTCTTCCAAGTGAGCTTAACTAGGACTTTTGCTCCATTGATATGAAAAATTATAAATTAGAAGTATTTAGGAGTTTTATATGTCTTTTCCTAGCACACATTGAAAATGACTGATGAATTGCTTGTCTTATCCAATGATGACTGGAAAAGCTATGGAACACACCTAAAATTTCATCCAGGGATTGAAGAAGTAATAAACTAGACAGAACTGATTTGAAGGAAGAGCAGGGAGAAAGAATAAACCTATTTTCTATTTATAGCCTATTGAACTTCTATGTTTTATTACACTATGATAAAAGAATCTGTACAATGCCTACTTTTTAGAACTTTTGGGGTCCTTAATGGCCCAATATACCCCAATATAGTAGACACTTATCCTTTTTTTTTTGACAGCTTATCATCAAACTCCCTTTCTGATGGGCATTAATTGTATCCTATACCTGATTTCCTCGATACCTGCTTTCCACGCTTCCCTTGCTGCTAGGGTCTAGGCTCAGTCAAGTCAGTGCAGCTGCCTTGGCCAGGGCCTGTTGATATAAAGAAGGAGGGTCTTGAAAATTCCACTCTGGCCATATACTGTGGCAACACTGAGTTTTCAGGGCCAGCAGAGCCAACAGCAGCAGCCAAGGCCAGATGCCAGCCGTGCAGGTGGCACATCCAGGGTTCAATGGTAGTGACTGCGGAGTCTTCACCAGGCTGATTTTGTGGCTAAAATCCTGGTTTCTGCTTGGTCTTTCTTTTCCTTGACTGTTTTCCGATCCTTTCTGACAATGTCAGTGGGGTTGGGGTTGGGGGGAACAGACAATAAACACGATAAATTAATAGTATATTCAAAAGTGAGAATGCTGTGAAGAAAAATGAGGCCCAGTAAGGAAAACAAGGAGTGCTAAGGGGCTGAGATGCGGTGGTCTGGGCTTCATGGAGAAGTGACGTTGAGCAAAGATCAAAGGAGTTGAGGGAGCGGCCATGTGGATATCTAGGGGCCTGCAGGAGCAAAGGCCCTGACATGGGGTGCCTGGAGGCCTGAAAGAATAGCCAAGACATCAGTGTCATCAGAGTAGACTGAGTGACAGGGAGAGAGATAGGAGATAAGGTCAGAGAGGTGTCACAGAGCCAGTCATGGTGGGCCTTCTGGGTCATTATAGAGACCTTGATGACAGCCATAGAGGGTTTTGAGCAAAAGCATGCAATGCTCTGACTTATGTTTTAAGAGGCTCACTCTCAGTGTCTATGGATAACAGGCTGTAGGCAGACTAGGGTAGAAGTGGGAAGACTAGATGAGAGACTATGATGATATTCCAAGAAAGAGAAGGTGGTGGCCTGGACTTGAGTGGTAGCAACGAAGGTGGTGAGAAGAGATTGGATTCGGATATATATTGAATAAGAGCCAAGAGGATTTGCCGTCAGGAGTCCAGGTTGAGTCCAAGGTTGAGTGTAGGATACAGTTGTTTACTGAGAGAGGGAGGACTGTGTAGCATTGTGGGGATAACCAGGAGGTTAGCTTTGAACATCACAATTTTGAGACAACTCACAGTGCTATGGACTGAACTTTGTCCTACCCCCCCCCCACCCACTTCATACATCAAAGCCTAACTGTCAATGTGATGATATCTAGAGGGAAGGTTTTAAGGAGGTATCTAGGTTGAGGTGAAGTTATGAGGGGTGAAGTCTCATGATGGTTTTAGTGGCCATATCAAAAGAGCTGCTAGAGAGCTTGTTCTCTCTTTCTCCCCACCATCTGAGGACACAACAAGAAGGGGACAGTCTGCAAGCCAAGAAGAGAGCCCTCAACGGAGCCTGACCATTCCAGCCTCCAGAGCTATGACAAATACATTTCTGTGGCTTAAGCCACCCAGTCCATGGTATTTTGTTACAACAGTCTGAGCTGAGGCTGAATTGGATACACTTAGATATCCAAGTAGAGATGTTGAGTTGGCAGTTGAAAATCCAGCAAGCCTGGTTTTAGGGAGAAAGTTTAGGTATGGATGTAAAGTTGGTCATTGTCGGTAGCTAGATACTATTAAAGCCATGAGACCAAGGTGGTCCTCTAACTGTATACAGTGAAAAGAAAGCATCTGAGGACTGAGACCTGGGACATATCAACACAGGCAGATCTTAGACATTGCAGGTCTGGTTCCAGACCAGCACAATAAAGCAAATACTGCAATAAAGTAAGTCACACAAATATTGTGGTCTCCCAGTACATATAAAAGTTATGTTTACAGTATGCTGTAGTCTAGTAAGTGTGCACTAGAGCATGTCTAGAAGATGTTCTTACCTTAATTAAAATATACTATATTGCTTAAAAAATGGTAAGGATCATCTGAGCCTTCAATGAGTTGTCATCTTTTTGCTGATGAAGGCTCTTGCCTTGATATTGATGGCTGCTGACTCATGACGGTGGTTGTTGCTAAAGGTTGGGGTGGCTGTGGCAATTTCTTAAAATTGAACAACAGAGGGCTGGGCATGGTGGGTCATACCTGTAATCCCAACACTTTGGAAGTCTGAGGCAGGTGGATCACTTGAGTTCAGGAGCTCGAGACCAACCTGGCCAACATGGTGAAACCCATCTCTACTAAAAATACAAAAAATAACTGGGTGCTATGGCATGCTCCTGTAATTCTAGCTACTTGGGAGGCTGAGGCAGGAGAATTGCTTGAACCCAAGAGGTGGAGGTTATAGTGAGCCGAGATCATATCAGTGCTTGGGTGACAGAGTAAGACTCTGTCTCAAAAAATAAAAATAAAATAAAAAGCAACAATGAAGTTTGCCGCACCAACGGACTCGTTGCTTCACAAAAGATTTCCCTATAGCATACATTGCTGACAATATTTTATTTTATTTTATTTTTAGACAGAGTCTCACTCTGTTGCCCAGGCTGGAGTGCAATGGCACAGTCTCGGTTCACTGCTACCTCCACCTCCCAGGTTCAAGCAATTCTCCTGCCTCAGCCTCCTGAGTAGCTGGGATTACAGGCACACACCACCATGTCAGTCTAATCTTTGTACTTTCAGTAGAGATGGGGCTTCGCCATGTTGGCCAGGCTGCTCTTGAACTTCTGATTTCAGATGATCTGCCCACCTCGGCCTCCCAAAGTGAGTCACCACGCCCAGCCTCTGATAGCATTTTAATCACAGTTTAACTTCATTCCAAATTGGAGTTGGTCTTCTCAAATCCTGTTGCTGCTTTATCAGCTAATTTTATACACTAGTCTAAAGCCTTTGTTGTCGTTTGAACAATGTTCATAGCACTTCACCAGGAGTAGATTTCATCTCAAGAAATCACTTCCTTTCCTTATCTGTAAGAAGCAAATCATCTACTCAAGTTTTATCTTGAGGTTGCAACAGTTCAGTCATATCTTCAGGCTTCACTTCTAATGTAGTTATCTTTCTATTTCCACCACATGTATAGTTACTTCTTCCACTGAATTTTTAAACTCCTCAAAGTCATCCCTGAGGGTTAGAATCAACTTCTTCCCAACTCTTGTTAATGTCAATATTTTCACCTCCTCCCTTGAATCATGAGTGCTCTTAATGGCATCTAGATGATGAATCCTTTTCAGAAGGTTTTCAATTCACTTTGCCCAGATCCATCAGAAGAATTGCTATTTAATGGCAGCTATAGCCTTATGAAAGTTATTTCTTAAAAAACAAGAGTTCAAATTTGGAATTACTCCTTGATCCATGAGCTGCAGAATGGAAGTTGGGTTAGACATGAAAACAACATTCATCGTCTTGTATATCTCCATCAGAGCTCTTGGGTGACCAGGTGCAGAGTCAATGAGTAGTAATATTTTGAAAGGAATCTTTTATTGAGCAGTAGGTCTCAACCATGAACCTAAAATAGTAAACCATTCTGTAAACAGATACGCTGTTATCTAGGCTTTGTTCTTCCATTTAAAGAGCACAGACAGAATAGATTCAGCATAATTCCCAAGGGCCCTAGGATTTTCAGAATGGCAAATGAGCAGTGGCTTCAACTTAAAGTAACCAGCTGCATTAGCCTCTAATGAGATAGCCAGCTTGTCCTTTGAAGTTTTGAAGCCAGGCTTGGACTTCTCCTCTGTGGCTATGAAAGTGTTCGATGGCAACTTCTTCCAGTATAAGACTGTTTCACTGCACTGAAAGTCTGTTGTACAGCATTGCCACCTTCATCAATGATCTTAGTTAGACCTTCTGGATACCTGTCTGCCGCTTCCATGTCAGCACCTGCTGTTTTAACTTGCATTTTTATGTTACGGAGGTCACTTCTTTCCTTCAACCTTAGGAACCAACTT